GTAAAGCAGATGCAAGATTCTAACCTTGTTGTACAACACACCATGTATTCCTCCCATACAAGTCTTGAAGTCCACAGTTAAAACCTGACATGATTTTTAAACAGATCTTCACAACAAAGCATCAAATATACACAACATCATTGGAACTAATTTAAGTTAGTCAGTGTCTGCGTACAGCTCTAAACAACCCAATGCTTTAATAAAAACAACCCCTTGGTCTTCAGAATGAGCGTATGCCTTGCAGTAACCAACAAGGAAATGCTGTCAGCTTAAAGCTGCTTCCAGTGCAATCCTATGCATGCTTAGACAGAAAAACAGTTCTGTAATTGCCAGCATGCCCTCCCTTCCTGGAGGGATGCTGGGAGTTGAAGGACCGCAGCAAGAAAGAGGGAGAGAACCATTGGCTCAGTTGTGACCATGTGACATTTGGCGTCATGTACTACTCATATTGCAAGACATTGCTTGTTTATCAAGTTAAAATTTGTTAGAAATGTTTGCTCGTCTTGCAGAACACTCACAGAACAAGTTAACTTGCAATCCAAGGTTTTACTGTACTTGGGTTGGGAAGTCCTTTTAACAAGTGTGTGCTTTAATATATGTGAGAGCAGGGGCTTAACACAGTGGTGGGAACATATTTTGTTTATATAATGTCTTATCTTGAATCCTTGACATTGGAGGTTGAAAGAAAATCTCTTCATAGTGGGGTTGGGCACAATCTTTGCCTGAGATCAAGGGGAGTTGCTGTGATCAGTGTAGGTAGTAGTAGGATAGACTAGCTGATAAGAGTGCTCAGAATATAGCACCTTCTTATATCACTGTTATTTTCATAGAAATTTGCATTCAAACTGTAACTTAAATTCAATGAAGTCAGCTTAGAGCTGAAGCTTTGGATTTTGTTAGACAAAGAACATGGTTTATTTTACTATCTTTTTATAAAATAGGAAGAAACTAACTTGACCTAAAACATACATGTTTTAAAAATAATTAATTACACCCATTAATGAGAAAATATTAAACATGCATTATTTTCTGATTTATATTTCTTAACATTTATACAATGTAAACAAGTAAACATGCATACAATTTAAAGAACTTTTGTAGCAGAGCATGCATAGCAGCAGTGTCTGATTTTCTTCTGCTTCCGTTACAAGCCCCTCAGTGCTTTTGTAGTTTCAAAGAAAAGGGAATCAATCTGTTCAGCTGTGCAACATCTATCTTTATATGAAAATAACCCCAGATTCACTTTATAGCTTTCCTTTTTTGTATAGAATTAAAACCAGGTCTGAAAATCTCAGTGTAAGAGCGCCATGTGTCTGTAAGCACCTCCATGCTTAATAGTGCAGCTGGTTTCTAGCTCATCTAGAATTGCATTTATTTATGTAAATGTCAGTCCTAAAATTTCAATTTTTCTTCTAGCACACCTCTACATAAATTGCCAGTAATATTCTTTTTTCTCAATCTGTTCCCTCTTTCTGCTCTTAAGTAAAAATTTACCTCCATTCTTCTGCATGTTTAGCGGGCTCATTGTGTGTAGAACTTTCCTTAATTGATCCCTATTAGCTTTTCTTAAATGTTCGTATTTGGCATTTCCCTTCATATTAAAATGTTTTGGTCCTATTAGTGTTTTCAGTTCATTAAAAAAGAGAGTTATCCTCCTCTACTTTATATAGCATCATGCAAATATGTGCTATAAGCAACTACAGTGGCTCCTCCTTCTGTTCAACACTTAAGCATATATTTTTTCGGTTAGTTAATCGTACCTTATATGTTGAAACGTCCCAATATTGCATTGATAACACTTTTAAAAACTTAAACTTTTAAAACAGTTGAACCACTTTGGACAAAAATAAAAGTGAAATGGTTTTGGTAATTCTAAAAAATGCAGTTCTTTTAACAAGTTTGTTAATTTACGATAAATGTTTGAAGAACTTGCATGAAATGCAGTTTTTCTTCATGATTAAAAATGTTTATCAAACAAGAAGAGCCACAATTTCCAGGAAGTACTATGTTCAAGCATGTAAAACACTGATATGGATCTGAATGTTTTGTCTAAGAAGCTATGAATTCATTGCTTTAAGACCAGAAAAATGCTATTAAATTCTAGGTTCAGGTCTGACTTAGACAACACAGCTCAGTTCATTTTCAATCCACTGGTCTTGTATTTGGCTAAACCATGGTGGTTGTCCAGCTGCAAACTGAAGACTGCCAAGAATCCAGGTGTCCCAGGGTGTGGGGAAGCAGGCAGAGATTTCTAACATGAATCTTGTGATCAACATTGTTATTCTGAGCGCATTTACAAAGGTTTTAATTATTTGAAGCTATAGCTATGTAAAGTTAATAAAAACAAGATCATACTGGGCCTGAATGGCCTATTGTCCATTCTGGCTTTATGATTGTATAACATGAATTAGAGCTGTTTGTTTTCTATCTTCCTATTTCTGCCCAAGAAAGGTTGACATTACACTGTTAAAGGAAAAGAAATCAGTATCCTATATCAGTAGCCAGATTGTGCATGGGAGAACAGGATTCAGATTCTAGATCAGCTTGAGCCGACTGGGTAGTTTTAGGCCAAATCATTATCAATCAGCCTAACCTATCTTATAAAATCATTGTGAGGCTACATTTGAGGATAGTTATAAATCTATTTGTACATAACAAAATGCTGTAGAAAAGGCTTATGATAATACCTATAGTACACTTTTTTTCTATGACTTGATATATTCTAGGTTCCTTCTTTTGCTTTGTGTGCTTAGTTTAAGACTTTTGACAGCAACCCCCTGATTCAAGCTGCAAGGTCTTTATAGAAAAGAATAGCCCTTTCCATAATCATGCTTTTAATTTCCCCTTTTCACTAAGCCCAGGTTTCAGGAGAAATGGGGACCCAATATTTTTCTCTCTGCCATGAACTTTAACTAGGCAAGGCTAAAGCTCTGCAATTGCAAAATATATATATTAAAATAATAGTATATATATAATAAGAGTTTAAAATATATAGAGAGGGATGTCACTACATATTTAGGGGTTTCATATCCATTTAAAACTTGTCTTACTGTATATAAAAGAAGATAGAAACTACAAATATGCAAATTATATTGCTGTGCAGAAAAAATGGAGAAGTCAAGCATCCACTCCTTTCGGTCAATTCTTACAGAGAAAACTAAACTTTATTTCAACTGTGGCATTCATACACCTGTTCACTACAAGTCACATAAGCAATATATATTACCATAAATTCATGAATTGTCAAGATTCACAAATTATATAGTACTTCTGCATAAATTTAAAGAAAATTGAGTTTGCATCTTGTGAATTTGGAGAATTACTAGCTTTGAACATTGTGTGTTATAACAATGAATAGGTTCTAATAGAAATTAAGGTATATTTTGAGACCTTTTAAGGTTCTGGTTGTAATCCAGATGCACATTTCTGGAGGATATTGACAATCTGGATCTGTGGGAACCTGATCTTACTACTGATGAAACATTTTTAAAGTTATTTTATGAGTTCAAAAAAGAGATTTTTGCCTCATATACACGTATTATTGTACCATGCTCAGCAGTTGCAGAATACAGGCCTCTACTTCCCTAATCTTGAACACAGTTATTAAACCCAATTTTATTCCAAGGAAGGTGTTTGCTATCAGCTTTCAGTGTAAGATAATTATTGAGCTATCTCCCCAAAAGTAGAAATTCGTTTTTAGAAAAAAGGGCAAAATAGAACACAGAAGTGCATAGAATTTGACTGCCGATTTGTGTATTACTGTAATTTAAATAAAAATACATCCTTTTACTTATATACTTGTTAGCATTTGTATACTGCCATATCTGCTAAGTCATGAATAAAGTAGTTTAAAACAATAATACCTTGCCACAAGAAAAACAGTAAAATGTTTTTAAATGCACATTTTAAAAGGCTACATTGCAAACTTGTATCTTTATGCCCTTTCTAAAGGCCTTAAGAATGTGTGGCCAATTGTATATCTCACCTCAGTTTGGAAGACTATGACTAGGTAACCTGTGTGCCTGCTTAGTCTGCTGCCCAGGTGCTAACTGTTGATGGGCAACTTCAGGCCTGTTCTTTTCCTCCTACAGTTTTGTTTTGTTTTACTTTTAAACCAGACTTGAGTGAACAGCCCTTCATATAGGACAGTCATAAATGCCTGTAGCTGAAATTATAAAAATGTAATTTGTTTATATGGCGTGACATGTTTGTCCAGTGTTGCTAAAATTATTTAATAATTTTAATCATGTATAAGTACCAAATGTTCGATTTTAAATATTTGATAGTAAACTTTTAAATTTCCAGGCATTTTTGGCTGCAACATCCTTTCATCCTATGAGTGAAAGAAACAGCCTTATTGCTTGTTCCTGGACTATGCATATTATTACAGAGTAAGCTATAAAATAAATTTCAAACTTTGAGTGTTTCTACAGTCCACACCAGTTTACTTTAAGTTCTTCCAAGGAAAAGAGTAGTGGTAGGAAGCTAGAACCACTGTGCTGAGATGTAATAGTTTCTCTAAAGTCAAGTTCAGTGGTCAAATTAACTTTGATTCTGTGAGTGTATATTTTGCCAGAAGAATACCACTATGGTGGGTGATCTTAGAAACTGGTTTTGATGTAAAATTCTGAGAGTTCCCAATGTTCATTATTGCACTCTTCCACTATAGCTGAGAGCTTTTGCCTTCATTGTTTTTCCTCATTTAGTAACTATGAGGTTAGATAGTTCACTTCTAAAAAGTGAAATATTATGTTCTAAAAAGCTAAATTAGCATAATACTCATGAATTGATGTTTTCTTTTATAAATAATTCACTTGGTGCAAACTCCTGACCAGATCTTTTTTTTTTAAAGAAATCCATACATTTTCCTATTTATTCAGGAAATATGAACATTCCAATTTTTGATATAGCACTCTTTTTTTCAACAGGTGTGACAATTCAGCGATCAGAATTACATTCTTGATCAAACTCCTACATTAACTTGCAACCAACCAATCAGGCAATGCCAGCTTTGTGACTCAAACCAGTAAGATCTCTTCCTGCAACTTCAAACCCTCCCACCTCCCCAACTTGCAGTCTGACTTGTCATTGCAAAATAGTTCCACACTAAAACCAAAATATAGCATATCAGAAGGAACAGAAAAAATCAGAGTGAACAGTGGAACAAGAAACTGCAAGTCTGTTGATAATACTAATTCACCAAAAGTTTGCCTTGCAAATTAGCTAGTCTTGCAGTCAGAACAATATGATTCACTTCATATTCTTCTCTAAAATGCTTTATTCTGCCTTTTTTATTATCTGCTTTAAGTTTTGGAGCAAAAAAATACTTCCTCTAACTCTCTTGTGCTTGGCATGTAGGCCACCACCACTTTGGGATTACCAATGTGAGCTTGAATTCGACAAGTAGACTTGCAGAGTCTTTTAATCCTGCATGCTGCTTGTCAGGCCTGTTTGCAGTTGATCTTTCTCAGTCCTGGTAGTATTTCAAGTATGAGGAATTTTAGTGAAGCCTGGCTCAATAAGTAGCAGCCATCAATGCTGGCATAGTTTCTTGTTAGATATTCATATTTGGCTAATGTTTTAAATGTTCTTTCTATCACCAGGCCAAGGAGTGTGGTCAGATGCAGAACAAGTGGCTCATGATTAACATACAGAATGTGCAGGATTTTGCCTGCCAGTGTCTTAACCGTGATGTTTGGAGCAATGAGGCTGTGAAGAACATTATCCGGGAGCACTTCATTTTCTGGCAGGTAGGAAAGATTTTTCATAAGTGAATGAAAGATTAGCAACAGAGTCAGTATTCATTTTGTATTTAAGCTTTTTTGACTAACCTCACCACAGTTGTGTTGTGGAGAATAGAAGAATAATGTGTGTATGGCTATGTGGCAGGTCAGAGTTGGATCATGCTACCAAATGCTGAAGTACTTTTAATAATGGAATATTCCAAAGCATTAAATAATGCCATTGGCTATTCTACAGGTATACCATGACAGCGAGGAAGGGCAAAGATACATACAGTTCTACAAACTAGCAGACTTCCCTTACGTATCTATCTTGGACCCTAGGACAGGTAAGAGGAAAAACGACCATATAAACCTATGGCTACAGGAATATAAATATCTGAATCATTAACTCTGCTTTCTTTTAGAAGGGATAGATGGCAGCTTATTACAATGTAATCAACTTCCTATCAATTAAGATAAATCCTTCAGTATAGCTCAAACAGGAAGGGGCTGTTGCTTTATTCCCTTTACTGTGAACTTCCAGAAAGCATCTTCTTGGCCATTCTTTGAATGCTTGACCAGGTGGACTCAAGGCCTGATCTAGTGGAGCAATACATTATGTTTGCTTCTGTTCTGTTCCAATAACATTATTTAATGCTTAAGTCCATTAGATTACTGTTGGGTATATGATACCTATGACTAAAATAATGTAGCATTTGCTCATTTCTGCCATTTTTTCATGCTGCTGCCACCTCTGCAGAATCATTTTGCAGGTGTATTAGGAGTCCTCTAAAGATAATATCTATGACTGCACAATTATATTGCATTGCAATAGGAAAGTCTCTAAAAAGTCAATGCTTCTGTTTTTTCATTCTGTTTGCTACTTTGATGATGATTTGAGACTCCAGTTGTTGAAATATGACTGTTTACTATCTTAAACAGGACAGAAGCTAGTGGAGTGGCACCAGTTAGACGTAACTTCTTTTTTGGACCAAGTGACTGGGTTCCTAGGTGAGCATGGACAATTGGATGGACATTCTACCAGTCCTCCCCAGAAACGCACTCGCTCTGTAAGTATAATATTTGTGTGGTCCCTAGGAGGGTATATGAGTATATTTTATCAGAACAATTCTTAATACCTTAATGTGACATGATCTAGATTAGTTTCTTATAAATAAAGAGCCTAACATTTTATTGATAAGGAGGAAGATTTTGCTTATTTTCTGCCCTCTTATCCACCCTACTTCTTAGTATATACATGTAACTTTTATTTACCTTTTGCTTTATGGGTGTATTGACTAGGAGAGTCTCATTGATGCAAGTGAAGATAGCCAGTTGGAAGCTGCCATCAGAGCATCCTTACAGGAGACACATTTTGACTCTGACAAAATAAAGCAGGAGAACAGATCAGATGAAGAGTCGGAATCGGAGCTTTTCTCTGGAAGTGAGGAGTTTATTTCTGTGTGTGGTTCTGATGATGATGAGCCAGATAATCCTGCCAAGTCTAGGAAGTCTCCACACAAGGACTTGGGGTGTAGGAAAGAGGAAGGCAAAAAGCCGCAGTCTGAGCCCACAGGAAGGACTGAACCTGAAATGGTAACAAACCATCGAGGACTGTCTTACATAGATTCTGGAGTAGTAGAAGAGACTGGAGCCAAGCCAGAAGCTGCAATGAAGGAGCTGAATGTGAATGGTAAGTGGGGTGGTTAAATGCATCCTACATGTTTTCCTGAAACTTTGACACTGTCCAGAATGATTAGCAGAAAAACAAAAATTGGTCTCTTAATGGTTATCTAGACATTTTTGTTACATTCAAGAGTATTAACATTTTTCCATTACTCACAATATATTCAGTATAATTGGTAAAGCAAAATATCCATTATATTACATCTTCAAAAAAAGTCTAAATTATTCTAGTACTGTATGTCAATATGTTATGAATATGTTCAAAATTAGTATTCATTAAAAGTACCAAATGTGTTCATCAAAGTCTCTCTTAGCAACTAATGTCAGTTTTTATTTTCAGAATGTCCATTACACATTTTTTAAAAGCTCAGCCCTAAAATTAGTCCCAATGTTACCTAAGAAAAATTAAGAGGCAGATTATTGCTCTGCATGGTCCTTGAACAAGATTTATCATCTATTTTGCAACACAAAAAGAATAGCTGGTTGATTTTTTTGGAAAAAAACATTTGTCATAACTTTATTTACATGTTACTTCCTAATTCTTGTTTACCATACTCAGTTTTGCTGGGAAATAGGATGTCCAATGAGAAGCATTCCTGCACACTTCCCACCAGAATGGGTTTCATTGGGAAACAGCATGCAAGGAGAACCAACCTGGCATGCCTGTTTCCTAACAGAGGCAACCTTGTGCTAACAGCTCAGAAAGACGCCTACAAGGATGACTCTCCTGTGCACTCTGCTAATGCCCTCCACTACTTTCCTGTGTAGTGGAGGCAGTGGCAGCAGCGACATGGGATAATGGGTGTGGGGGAAAGGCAGCGCATGTTGCCCACCTCTGATTTAAATATTTGCAAGCGTCAATTCATTTTTGCCTCGTATAAAATGTTATCCTCCCAAATCCCAATTGTGCAGAGATTTGCATAATTTTCTTGGGATAAAGTAAGTTTCCATGCAGGATTAAGATGTTGGAGTTCTTTAGGGCCATACAGGTATGGAGAAATCTTTGCAAATGATAACTGTACTTCAGCTAGAACAAAGAGCAGTATAGAAAGCAGGCTGGTAATCAGAGTGTCATTTGTGTTAGGGCTTTTTTTTGTGAGAGTTTAAGATATATCAGGTACATTACAAACAATTTTTAAAGTCTTCCTACGCAGCTTGTCATTTCGATGGACTTTTTTTTTTTAAATGGGTTGAGAAAACAATCCAGGATAGAAATAGGTTTAAGCTAAAGCATTATTGTACACCCTCTTAGAATAGTGTGACATATTGTAGGTCAGGTAGTACAAAAGAATGCTATTACTTCATTTGGGAAAATTATAATAAAATATAGGACAGAGAAAGATGAGAGAAGAACAACCAAAGAAAGTATGCAAAAAAAGTGAAGAAGCACAATGGATATTTGTCAGAAGAACATTTTGAATGGAAATAATAAAGAAAGCAAAAGATCAGAATCCTTGTGAAAGGAGGAAATGAGAAGAGCACTCAAGACTGGAAATTGAAAGCTGGTAAGGGCAGAAGATCTAGATTATTCAGGCTTTTTCAAAGAAATGAAGCCACAGAGAACCAGAAGAGTGACATAGTCAAAGTATTTGCTGGATAATCAGAGAAGCACATTTCTGAAAGTTTAAAGTGGAAAGCATAAAGCTTGGCAAACAAAATTTTATAAGTTTAAAAAGTATGAAGCAATGTCTCATGGAAGAAACAAAAGAAAAAGGAGGAATTTTTATAATGTTAAACATAAAATCAGCTGGCTCTATCAATAAAGCTCAACTTGATACGCAAACACAAATATTATCAGATACTGTGCATAGTCAGTATAATGAACTGTCTTGAACTGGAGAGAGAATATTCATGCCTGAAATAAATAAAAATGTAGCAGATCTGATGAGAAACAGAGGAGATCAAATATAAATACAGTGAGAAAGAAGGTTTCATATTGGTTCATATAGTCCGGTACTCTGACTTGAACATCCTTATCCATGCTGAATGTACTCTACCTCTGAGTTTTGAACCCTTTCATTGAAAGAAGTCATTTATTTATTATATCCTGCCTATTTTCCTTTTATGAAACTCAAGGTGGCTTGCATAATTCTTTTCCTATCAGTCTTATCCTCACAACAACAGTCCTGTGAGGTAGGTTGGACTGAGAGTCTGTGACTGGCCCAAAGTCAGCCAATGAGCTCCATGGCTGAGTGGGGCTAGAACCCAGATTTTCATAGTCCCAGTCCCACACTCTTAACCACTGCATCACACTGGCTATCTTGAAATGTCATTCTTCCCTTGGCATAAGTGTATTTGGTAGTTATTTGATTACCAAAGGTAAATTCAGGATTTCTATTTAATTTGTAACATTCTGCACTTAGGACCAAAGGCACACCTAATGCTAAGGTATCCAGATGGAAAGAGGGAACAAATATCACTGCCAGAGCAAGCAAAACTTCTGGTAAGTCAAAGTGATTGACGTCTCTTCTGGGTAGATTGCCACTTCTCCTTTGCTCTAATCTCTTTTTTTAATCATAATGTGTTTTGGATGCTGATTCATTTGTTTAACTGTCTTTAAACTTGCGTTTTTATGTCACAGTTTCCTATTGCACAACTTGGTCAACTTTCTCCTTTCATATGTGACCGGTGTAGTTGCTATCCTTTAGCGCTTACGTCCATATATGCCCAGCCGCCCCTTGAGATCAGCGGGAGAGGCCCTTCTCCGGGAACCCTCCGGGAAGGAAATTAGGAGGGTGGCTACTCGGAGGAGGGCTTTCTCTGCGGTGGCGCCCAACTTATGGAACACGCTCCCCAGAGAGGTCCGCCTGGCGCCGTCGTTATTTGCTTTTCGGCGCCAGGCGAAAACCTTTTTATTTAAGCGGTATTTTAACTGTTAGTATTAACTGATTTTATCTGGCCAGGGCGGCTTATTTTATATTGTATTTTTTGGATTTTTAATGTTTATATTAATTTATTGTTGTAAGCCGCCCCGAGGCTTCGGCGAATGGGGCGGCATAAAAATGTTTTAATAAATAAATAAAAATAAATAAATAACAGCAAGGCTTGAACAATAAGCCTAGAAGCCTTTTCTAATCTGACACCAGCAGATATATTGGACTACACCTTCCATCATTGTTACTGACTATTCTGGGCAGAGATGTTGAGTGCTATACTCTTAACATATCTGGAGGGCATCAGGTTAGGGAAGGCTGATTTATCATATTGTCAGAGAGATTGATTCCCCAAAATTATCCTGATAATCTGCCTTATAAGTGTCCCATTCCAGAAACATATAAGCCTTGTATACTGGATGAATTCATACTACCATTTGGTTAACTATCACTTTTTTTAATGTATTCAAAACATAGTGTTGGCATTATTGTTGGTATGTTATACATTATCAGCTTGTGGTTCAAAGACCTGTAGTGCCTGGCAATATATTTCTCCTCTTGTCCTCATCATACCTGTGCTCCCCTTGGGGATCTTTTTGGAATCTTGAAAATGCTCGCATTAACTCTCCTATCCCTGGTATCTTTCTAACTCTAAGATTAAGATTATGGAATGCGTTCCCTGGAGGGGTGTGCCTGGTGCCGAGTTTATATTCTTTTCGGCACCAGGTTAAATCCTTTTTATTTAATTACTATTTTATAAACTAATATTTTATTGTTAACAGTTGTTTTTTTGTTTTTGTTTTTATATAATATTTTATGGAATTTGATATTGTTTTATTGTTTTTAATTGTATGTGTTGTGTACTGTCCCGAGATGCCAGGCATGTGGTGGAGGCACATAAAAGTTTTAATTAAATAAATAAATAACTCTTGTTGGCCTAAAAAGAAGTTTGAAAACATAATGGCAAAAATGTTTAACAGGTCTAAAAAAGTGATTATATAACTATTTAAAAGTCTATATTAATTACATTTTTTGGGTTCCAGGTCATGGCCTGAGAGCACATAATGCAGCCAACTTTCTGAAGCAGTACAGGTCTGGGTCTAGTCAGTACTAAATGGGAGACCACCTGGAAATTTATATAGCCACTTTGATTTCTATGCTGCAAGCAAGGAGGAATATAAATGTATTGTCATACTTAAAAAAACCCCTCATCTTCTAAGAGAACATCTATGGGAGATCCATCTTAGTGTTTGAATTTGCTGTCTTTTACATTTAACCAAAAGAATAAAAGAAGTGAGAGAGCAGGTACCTTATCTCATGTCTGAAAGCACAGTGCCTCAGTCCCATTTCCCATAGCCTGTATAGTTCCTTATAGCCCTGCTCATCTATCATATAGTACAGAGTTACCTAGAGTGGCACCTTCCAGATGTTTTGGGTGGCAACTGTTATTGACCTCAGTCAACTTGTTAACTCACATCATCAATTAGTATTCATCTAAAATTTCTGAAGGGCACCAGCCCCTTCTAAAAGGAATATGCTGATGTACCTCTGACATTAGGTCAACTCAACTTTAACTCACTTTTGTGATAACAAAAAATATTTCAATATTTGGAACACTCCTGAGTTTTTCCCAACTTGTTTAATTTCATGTAATTGTAATAAACAAGTGGACTGCATACCATTTTTTTAATACAGCCTTCATTGATATGCATGTTTTCATCCATTGCACTAAAAACTCTGTTTTATGTTGGTACTCCACAATTAAGTCACCGGTCTGTTCTTTCTCTTCAGGCTCTCATCAAACATGTACAGTCAAAAGGATACCCCAATGAACGTTTTGAACTCCTCACCAACTTTCCTCGGAGGAAGCTTTCCCATCTGGACTATGACATCACATTACAAGAGGCTGGTCTTTGTCCTCAAGAGACTGTCTTTGTGCAGGAAAGGAATTAGTTCTGCCAACCTTCCCGTGTCATTTTTGCCTACAATAGCAATTCACCAAGTATGCATTTGGCTCCATGAGATTGCAGAATTGAAATCTGGCAGCCATTTGTTGGCTTCTCTCTCTTCCTTTGTGTGCTACTCTTGGCAAGGAAACCATGTGAAAACAGCAAGAAAAAATTGCTTGGCTTTGATGGTGAAGGATAGTATGCCTGCCTCAATGTTCCATTGCTGTTCCAAACTAAGAAGGGCTTTGTGTATGTCCATTGTGCTGGGGACAATGAGCAGCCAGAGCAAGAAATATTTCCCCGTCCCTCAGAAGAAAAGTCTATTTTCATTAATATATTTTATTTTTCCAAGAGATCATGTGAACAGTCATGAAGGGCATCTTAAGACAACCATCTGAGCATGTGCTAGATACGTGAAGTCAGCTCTGTGCAGCTCTGTGCATCACCATGTGCAGAATTGAGTTTTCAGTAAGCATGATTGCTTCTGGAATGTCAGCATTTACTGAAAGCTGAATCTTACATGCAGTAGTAACAGCACATTACTAGATCGCCATAGATTGGGAGTCACTACTCACAGGCTTGTCAGGCAACCAACACAGATCTCGATGTTTGTGGGCAGAGACACTAAGTCTTGCTCACATGTGAAGAAAATGTAAACAGAGCTGCAGATCTATTGCCCTTGTAGCTCTTTGAGAGTCATAGCAAACGCAGTTGCAGAAATGGTACAGAATGTGCTGCATTAGATCAGTTTTCTGACTTGATTTGCATGTATTTCATTTGTTACAAGTGGGATGAAGTACTTTAAAGGAAGATGATGTAGCCTGTAGATCTAATGTAACCTAACCATTGTCCTCTAGGTCCTCTGTGCTTGGTCAAGAGCTGCACAGCTTCCCCTTATCACTGTTAAAAGTGTGAGGAGGGATTGATTTCTCATTTTCTATCTGGATTTTACCAGCAGTAAAATATGGCAAGATACTATGAATATAAAGCTTACTAAATTTCTTCTGTCATAAAACTGTTTTGATTCCCCAAGCCATTGTGGAATTCTGTTCACTGAGTTTTAGTATGTTTATACAAGTACTGGAATCTAAGAAAAGACATTCTCTTGTGTTTTTCATTAATTTGGAAATCCTTTTATTAACAGACTAACAACATAAACAAGATAAGATGGCTTTGGCTGTGACATCAAGTTTGAACAGATGTTGCTTAGGAATGGTTGCTTGCCATGATTTGTTCCAATTGGCCACAAAAGTATAGGTGTGTGCCAGACTAGAATAATGGAAGGTATGAAATGGCTCATTTGGATTTAGAAACATTTAATCGTGCTTGGTTTTAAATCACAATAGGATTGATTATATTGTCATCACATTTAGTTCACCTATTTGAGTGAACTTAAGATAAGGCAGTTTGAGAACTAAAAATGTTCATATGGCATTATAAAATGGAAACGTAATTCTGGCTCTTCTTGACATATGCTAGTAACAAATTTGAGGTGACTTGTTATATGTGAGAAATTACTTTGTGTAATTGTATTGGTAGGTGTTTGAACAGACAGGGCACAACTGAACTTATGTTTGGAAACCAAACAGCTGGCAGTATATGGATTCAAGATTAGAGTATAGGATTGGAGAAAACTAGTGTGTAGAAAAAGAATTCTTGCATTTGACATCAATATAAAGGCCTGAAACATCTTCCTTAGAAAAGGAAGGAATTAGGAAATAACATATTGAAGAGTGAAGGTCAGCCTCTGTTCAAACTAAATGAGAAGTCTGCAGTCAAATAATTGGCTGGTAAATTATTAATATATGAAGTTGACCCCCCCCCCCCCCCGCTCACCCCTCTTTACTTCAGTTTCATTTGTACCCTTATCCTCAAGCTTTTTTCTCATTCATCTACTTTAGATTACTGCTTATTGGTTCATTGTCTAGTCTGTATTCTTTCATTCTTTTCTGGGCTCTCAAATTCTTATCTTCTCTGTCTCCAGGGATTTCTTTCCAGTCTTCGGTCTGCTTCATAAATCTACTCCTCTCCACAGGACTTGTGTGACAAACTGACAACTTGTTCCCTTCCTCACATTCAGTAAACAGACTGCAGACATTGTGAGAACTATTCTCTGAGTACCTGGAATGTTTGTAAACATTCCATGCCATTACATTATCTCATCTAACTTGTGCCAGAAATTTAATCTCAAATAAATTGTATTGTGTACAATATAGATTGCATTTTCTGTCACAATCGTGTTAAGGCCATAAATGAACAAACAAACAAAATCTTGAGGATTGTGTAATATAATTCCTCAAGGCTTTTTCTTTGGCTTTCAGCACTGTGAAACTGCTTCAATTCTGACTTATTTTATTATTTCTGGCATGCATTGGTTTTGCTAGCACATTATCAACTGCAGTCCCGAAGACCATATTTTAATATGCCTGTTACTTTAGAGAGGAGACTTGCATACACACTACTACAGTACTCTAGTTGGATTGTAGAAGGCAGTTATGCAGAGAACTGAATTCATTGGTAATTTATCAAGAACTGCTTGCAGCATGAACAGTTATCTTGGTTATGTAGAATGACAATTGCAACATACATGACTGATTCTGCAGCACCTCTGTTACAGTTCAAATATTTTCCAGAATCTGAGCTCTAATAGTATTAATTTTCCTTTTACCGTATTTTACACCAGGTTATTTCTCCCACATCTAATTTATGTAGCCATTATTAGTACAAGGCTATTGGTGCTTAATGCCCACCATAGTTGTGTTCATTATTTTATTTAAATATTGTGTTCTCCCCTTCAGCAGAACGTCTAGGGCAGTTTACAAGAACAAGATAAAATACAAATTAAAAAATAAGTTCAGCAGTTGAATTAATCTATTAACAAGCCTGGGAAAACAAAATCATGTTTGCCCAGCACAGAAAATATAACAGCACTAATACTGGATGAGCCTCTTTGGGGAAGGAATTTCTCATAGGTGAAGTACTTACTGTGCATTTCTCATGTTTCTTTGTGGCTGACACTAGCAGATGAGCTCTTTCCTCAGAATATTTCCATTCAGAGTAATGGTTTATAGCCATTGGTGGCTTTGCCTTAGCAGAAAACTCTTCTATTAATGCAAGTAAGGGCATTTGATTTTGATTTTGCTTCTGATGCTCCTTGTTACTCCCTGCCTCTTTGTCTTCCTGGAAAACTGCTAGATAGTTGCTCTATCCCATAACAGAATGGGATATGGTGCAGAGCTGCAGAAAGTAAACAGATCAACAAAAACTGAGTTCAGACTTGAATGAGTTTGAAATGCTTTCTGCTATGGCAAAAGCCACTATTGGATACAACTCACTGGGTAGGACCCAGAGTTGTCCCTCTTCAAACCAGAATCTGTGCATCCTATTTGCACTGAAGAAAAAGGATGGGGCAATGGTTTTTTCATATTTTCTGTGCAGCCCAGAGTGCCACTTCCCATGCCATGTCGGTCCTTCTGTCTTGCAAAACAATGTGGGATTGAACCTGGGAATACAGAGGGAAGGGGAAATCAAAGATAATCACATCATCACCCGTTTCTCTTATGCTTATAAAAGTCTGTTGAATGCAAATCTAGATTGAATCAATCTTTAAACAGTATCAACAAAATATTTTGAAATGGGATGGGTAAATGCCTCTTTGATACAACACTGTTTAAAGGATTAGCAACACAAATATCTGGCAATATGTTTTAATATGTAGGATTGTCCAAGGTGCACAAATGTTTTGTGTGATTTCTGACTGATTGATCCTGTTGGAAGAATTATAAGACCAATGAGACACTATGAAGGCACCAATATAATTTGAAGAAGGGTGTTAGTTCAAATACAAGTAATCCTCTGGCTTGTTCTTCCTTGGCACTATTTAGGCAGTTTATGGTGCAATCCTATGCATACTTAGACAGAAAAAAAAAAAGCCTATACCTCCCAGCATGCCGTAGCAACATACCTAGTTAGAGGAATGCTGGGAGTTATAGGAGTTTTTTCTCGTATCTAAATGCACAGAAGACTGTGCTGTATCTAGGTTTAAAGAGAACATAATGCAACAATAGTCACTATACCCCAGCCTGGCTGCATAGAATTGTACCTTAAATCACTATTGGAATGGATTATAGATCTCTCTTCCCTTTTTCTAATTTAAACAGTTCTAATTCATTTTTAGTCATCTACCTAAGCCTACATCCTTTCCTATTTTTTCTTATCTTTGGAACAGTTCACAAAGTTAAATAGCTGTGAATCAGACTAAAACTACTGTTGAGAGCAGAAAAGCAGCTTATAAATCTTAACTGTAAACAAAAAGACTACTAATTTGGTATTTTAAATCATGCTGTTCTTAATAGCAAATTTACAGGCTTTCTGGTTCAGCATTTACCATTCAAGGAGGATTATGGATACAAACAACAAGTGTGTTGTGCATTCATGCCTGATTTAGGCTTAACAGGGTCATCCTCTCCATTTTAGGTAGCATAGCTTTCCCCGTACCACTGTTTCTGAAGAGGCGGTCTTAGCAAGATTTTATTCATTAAGGGATATTTCAGTCCTAGGTTCTTTTTACAAACATACTTTGTTTTTTTTTACCATTGAGGCTACTAAGTGGAACACAAAAGGCTGTAGAGAGAGTTTCTCAAAGCTGATGCCACCACTTCTCTAGCACTATCAGCTGAGCCATTCCTGGATTTTAGGGTGGCGGGTCTACTGCAACACAAGTAAACAAGAATGATGGAAGTAGATTTTTAGAGAAAGCATAGCATCCAAAATGTTCAAAACTGTAGAGATGACTTTAAAAACAAAATCCCACATTAAGCATCTAGCATAGCTGCAGGAATATTGAAGGTAACTTTCTGAAGAAATTCTGGGAAAAAATGGAAAGATAGGTTCTAAGTATGGGGAAATTAAGGTGTTAAATAATCTGAACTGGGTTCAGATACTGTTAAAATCAAGATTATAGTAGCCATCAAGACATTAAGTTGACTTTTTAATGTTGGATTGTTGTCTTTAAAGTTTTATAGTTTGAGCTGTATAAAATTTGATCTGCTACGTTTTCAGTAGAAGCTGTTGCTTTGTAATGGTGAAATAATTCTAAGATGAGTGGGGAAAGACAAGGTTTCAGCTTGCTGTAATGGGAAGGATCAAACTCAAGGCAACCTTTGATTTATACATATTATTGCTGCATTTTTATAAATACATGTAAATGCCCTTCCTACTGTAATATTTTGATCCTGAAAATAAAGCAGACCTTTTCATTAATTCTTAGCTTTTTTGGTTTTTAGAAGGAAGTAAAATCTGGAGTGTTAAAAGGAGGAATGAGTTTTTTGTGGAGACAAAATTGCAGAAATGAGGACCTATGTGTTTACTTGCCAATTTCTGATAAAAGAAATGTGCAACATGATAAAGAGTTCTGAGAACCCACTATAGGTTAATTAATTCTTGGGGCACTGCTTTGGATCGTCCATCATTATGAATATAGAAGCCTCATTGTAATGATTTAAAGTGTTATGAGTGTATTCCTTTAAATGTTGGCAAGTTTCAGAAAAGCAAAGTAGTAAAGGGGGAATGAGCGAGTGAGCTGATTGGTTGATGACTGAGATTGTATGGGTGGAGCGTCAAAGTGTGTGAGGAAAGAGATTTGTTTAATTTTTAGGATCCTGAATACAATACAAGGCAACATTACATTCTTCCTCGTGGTCTCTGTGCATCACACGTATATGGGTGCTGTGCCTGCACAGTGTCTGTTGTCAGGAAGATTTTACAGTTTTAACAGTTTTTGGCGGGAACTCTGTGCCCCCTCCCCCCCCCTCTATAAAGAGTCTCCACCCTTTCGCCAGTTTGCTTGCAAGCACCATTCACCATGCCTCAGATTTTTCTGCTTATCATTGCTTCTTCCCTCAATAAAACTCTCTAATTGTCTTTCCTTAGTTGCTTCACTTCGCTCTTCCAATTTTTGCAGCCTTCTCATTAGAATCTCATACAGTTCTGTGAAAAACATTTAAGATTCAAAAGGAAAGGGAAGGAAAAAGAATACATAGAGGACATATTAGTGACTAGGGATAGACAGAATAAAGATTAGTCAAAGTACATTGAGAAGAGAAAGGAGCATTTCAGAGTGAGGAGTGTTCGTGAAGGGAAAATATGTGATACCTCAGCCAGAAGTTGTTAATATGCACTGTTTTATTCACTAAGGAAATAAGTTGCAAAACATCTTGAAACCAATAGGCTTCTTGTACAACTAAAGTTTTGTTTACTGTTAACCCAGAGTCATAGGCTTTTTGAATATCAGTGTCTCATTCTCAGGACCACATGGTCCAGTGAAGGAGTCTTATAGCTTGGGCACAGTACTGTGGGAGAAGTTAATAATATTGTAATTAAATTCCTAGTGCTAGTAGTACATACTAAGAGAAAGAGAGGGAGATATCAAGAAAATTAAGGATGCACCATATCCAAACATCATAGGAGAGTTCTCGTGACACTCACCCGGGGATGCCCGAGCTTTTTGTGTACTCAATAATAATTTGAGGGGTTACCACATTATCTGTTTTAAGGTCATGTGAGAGTTGTTTAATCTTCAAATAATCATTTCCACCCACATTTGGATGACACAGCAGGCCATGGAACCCACAAGCAAGGGCTTCATATCTATAATTGAGGCCAGTGCTTGTCACAGCTCCTCACAGGTGTCTTGTCAGCTGGGCGATTTACTCTTTTCCTATGTCCTGCAAGTGGCAGCCAATGAATTTTGTGTAGGTGTGGAGAAATGTTGAACACAATTACTGCATATTACCAGGATATGCACTTTGTGCAAGTCATGTAGATAGCTAAATCATTAGAGAACCATGCTGGATCAGAACAGGATTCCATTTAGTCTGGTATATTGTTCGCGCAATGGCCAAACAGCTGCACATGGAAAATCCACCAGCAGGACATCGGTGCAGCAGCACCTTCCTGCCTATATTAATGGTTAGTCCATATACAAGCATTGCTTTTCAAGATAGCTGTGTATCTGCATACTCCCAATGGTGGGTACACATTATCCCAAAATTACTCCCATACAATAGGTTGCCTTTGGATATAAAAAAAATAAGCTATACAGAACTGTATGCATAAAATATTTTTTCTAATGTACAAATAGTGCTAACTTATGGAGGTTTGAGAAATGAGACTGGATGAATGCTGATGTAATATTCTTTAGAATTCTTGTGGGAGTGCATAGCTGGAAGTACCAGGGCTAGCAATAGTTAACTACATCATAAGTTGGAGCAGAGGGAAATAGGAGACATGCATTTTAGCACTGAAAGTCTGAGCACATCTTCATGAGCAGAAGGTTTCAAAAAAGATGGATGTGTCAAACTGCATAGTGCCACATGACAGTGATTTTATACTTATTGCTCAATCTTGCTAAGGATGACATTTTGGTAATACCCATCTGTCCTAAGTGCCTATTGACAAACTTTGAAGGGGCATGAGTAGGTGAATTCAAATGATCATGCATATTTATAATTCCAGCCATCATTTGTGCAGCCATCCTCTGGAAGTTGTCTTTGCACCAAGGAGATCTTGATAATTATTGTCCAGTTGCTAATATTCTGTTTTTGGGTAAAGTCTTGGAGAAGGTGGCAGAGGCTGAATTCCAGCCGTATAATCTGGAAGCCGTATAATTTTGGATGACGTATAATCTGGATCACCTGTGATTTGAGTTAGTCCTGGTTTTGATTCCACAATGACCTTGCAGCCCTGATGGATGCTTTCCACCAGAAGTGAGAAGCAAAGTGCAGACCTGTTGATTCTCCTTGATCTTTCAGCAGTTTTTGAACAGTTGCCCATAGTATCTTGCTGGAGCAGTTTGCAGGTTTCAGAAGATAGCAAGGTGGAGATTATCTATGTGAAGCTGCTAAGTGAAGTCATTAGGTGATTTGGAGTGACATGGTATCAGTATGCCAATGACACCTAGCTCTATTATGCCTTATATGAATCAGGAGAGGCTGTGCTGAACTGATAACTGTACATGGTAGTGTATTTGATGAGGGGAAAGAAACAGAAGTTAAATCCTATCAAATGGAAGCCCTTTGGCTGGATGGTTCTCCTGTCTGTGAACTAGGCATGCAGTTTGTTCTAGATATGGTTGCATTCCCCATGAGGGGTTCTCCTGGATATCACTGGGGCCCTAGGTAGGCTGAGTAGCTCAGAGTGCCTTTTATCAGCTTTAACTTGTTTACTAGCTGCATTTGTTCTTGGACAGAGATTGTCTGGCCACTGTGGGCAACATTCTGGTAATCCTCCACTTGGACTATTACAACGTATTGTTCTTTGGTCTACCCTTGAACATGACCTAGAACCTTGAAGGTATTGCAGAATGTGGCTGCTAGAATTTTAATAGGTACAGTCAGGCTCATGCAACACTGATCCCAAAGGGCCTGCATTTATTGGCTATTTGTTGCCAGGTGCAGTTCAAAGTGATATTGCTTAGACATAGAGCCTGAAACAGTTTGAAGGAACACCTCTACCTATGCCAGCTTTAAGATTACATGTCATCTACTCGCTATCTGACAACTAGAGAAAAAACATATTGCGGGATCCTATCTGTGAGACAGTTTTCCTATGGGAAAATGACTGGTATGCCAACCTGGACATCATCGTACTATAAAGCCAAAACATTTGTTTGCCATCTGAAGTAACTTCATGTGTTCAGTCATCCTGATTTAGGAGTTAAAGCTGTTTGATCATATTTTCCACTATTGCAGATTTGCTAAATTTGAGGTATTAATAATCACCATGATGAATGTAGAAAATACAAGAAATGCTGATTCAAGGGAGGTATGTTTGTGGTGGCTGGATGTTTATTGCGTAACATGTACAAGACGTATTTTTAAAGAAGAAAATCTGAAAGAAAGTAAGAACTAAGGCACACCCACTCTTTGAAGATCAGTTGCACAATAATGATTGTATATCTTTATAAGACGTACTTCTAACAGAAGTGCTGAAGAGAGAGAATAGACAGAATAGTATCTTGAAAGCTAGGGTTGGCAACTTGATTAGGGTAGGCACCCGTTTTTCATATAGTGACCCTAGAGCTCAAAGTCTTTCATTTTGTTTTGTTGCTGTATATCTTGATTTACTCACAAGCTATCGAATGTTATTAAAAAAAACCCAGAATAATTATTAGGCCAGGTTATTACAGATAGAACACAAATGAAGGCGAATTACTAAAGTGTAGAGTATCTCTCCAAACATTTGAAAACAAAATCCTTTTCCTTCTGAGTATAATCTTAAGCAACATATCATGAGTGGAAATTGGTAGGGCTGTGGAGGACAAAAATGTTTTGAGGGTCTACTGGAACTAATAGACAACAAATAATGTGAAACACTATTGAACCCCTTCAAATGTTTTTCTGAACATTCCACTTCTCCAAACTGGATTATATCCATGATGCTACAAATTCTTTCAGATGACATAATCCCAGCAAGTGTATTGAACAGTGTATAGGACATCACTGTTACGTGTGCCAGTAATCTGACTCCTATTTAACATCCATTTATGACAGTTTGAAATCATCATTTAATTGCTTTTGGTTTTTTGAGGGGGGCGGGCATGCACATTTTTGCTACTCTTGGAAGCTGTGATCATTCTCCCAGTAGAAGGAAGAATGCGTGGTCCCCCAGTTATTGGTGACTACAAATTCCATCAACTTTATTGGCTGTGTTGGCTCTAGGGCAGATGGGAATTACGGTTCACTAACATCTGGAGGGACACATAGTCCCCACCCCGGCATAAATGCATGTTCTGTACTTCTCTGGGTGCATGTGTGTGTGTTCATTCTTTTCCTTGTCAAAGCTTATTCCCAATGTAGGTAGCTCATGTGTGACATAAGCTCATAGGTGATTGGAACAAATAATAGAAGAAGGAACCTTGCTGGCTTCTATGTCTTTTAAGTAGTTCAGGCAAGCTCTAGTGAATCATCTGAGATTCTCAGCAATACAAATGGCAAAAGTGGTTTTGTAAGTTACATTGGTTCCTAATGATGAAACATTGGTGTGTTTTCTGTTGCTTGTTAAAACTGGTAAGCTATGAAGGAATACCACACCATATTACTATGTGTCTGACATCTGAAAGAGAAAAAAAAGTTATGCCTAGGGAAAAAAACTCAGGTCCAACAAGAAACACATTTACTTTTATGACAACAGCTTGTTCAGGTTCATAGCCCTGACTGAAGTGGTGTGGCTGGAATACAAAACTCTTGCAATATTTCTTTAGC